GACAGAGACGTTGAGGGAGGGGCTGAAAGGTGGAAGGAGGCGCTGCGAGCAGGAAGGTGGGGCTGCTAGCGGGAAGGAGGGGCATAGGAGGGGGGGGGGGGGGGGGGGGGGGGAGGTCGCGTGAGGTGAACGCGGGATTCAGAATAGTGTATTCGGGGCATAGGGACCACATGGGGGTAATGTAGGGGTAAAGTTGGGCAGAGAGTAAGGGAGATTGCGGCTGGGAGAGGGCAAGTGGGGCAGAGTGAGGAAATTGGGGGCATGGAGAAAGAAATTGGGACCGAGGAAGGGAAATTGGGGCAGAAAGAGAGAGAACGAGGGGCGGAGAGAGGTGATCATGGGGCAGAGCGAGGGAACAAGGGGCAGAGAGAGGAATGATGAGGCATAGAGGCTGGGGGAGTGGGGCAGAGGACGGAAAGGGATTCACTGAGAGAGAGGCAGCGGGGAGATGAGGTGCGATCTGATGCACCTAACTACAAGACCACCCCGCTAGCCCCACCCCTCCCCCGCCCCCCCCTCCCTAACCCACCCCACCGGCCCCACACCCCCTAAACCGACACCCTTATTGCATCCCGGAAGTGCAGCCGCTACAAGATTGTCAAGGCAGCGACTCCGGCGTCTTTGCTGAGACTCCCATCCGCATGGGCGTACTTCACCACGACGGCCTGCTTCTCAGCGTCGGAGCACCGTGCCATGATGCAAGTGCTGTCCCTCATAATCGACCTCCCCAAGCGCGCCGATATTCGACATGCCATCACGATCATGTCGGACTGGTACAAGGAGTTTATCCGGGCTGAGTATCACACCGATGCCACACTTGAGCGCATGGAGGAGGTCTCCTGCGAGTAAGTCTAGCGTGAATGGGTGTGGGTGCCATGCACATAGGGAACAAGGGACAGTGAGATGGCTGAAGGGGTCGAGGGAGGGATTAAGAGGAAGTGTGTGGGAAATAGGGTGCATAGAACGGGGGAAGACGGGAAAAGATAAGGAAAGGGGGGCAAAGCGAGGGAAAGAGGGGACGAGGGAGGGAAAGAGGGGACGAGGGAGGGAAAGAGGGGACGAGGGAGGGAAAGGGGACGAGGGAGGGAAAGAGGGGAGGGGGGGGGGAACGATAGGCTGTGGACTGTTCCGCATGCGCTGAAAAAGGGAAGGAGGGGCATAATGACGAGAGGAGGGGCTTAGAGTGGGGGAATGGAGTGGCAGAAACATGGAAGCTGAGTTGTGAGTGGGTGGGGGAGGGGGGGGGGAGATGAGAGGGGGGAGGGTTTGAGAGAGGGTAGTAGTACATGAACCCGGGTATTGGGCATTGTCTGTTGTTTGTTGCTGGATTGTTGTTTATATGCGTACGCACGCTAAACCGATCCCCAACACCCAATGCCCCAATCCCGAACCTTTCAATCCACCCAAACACGTCCTATCCAGGATGGTCGATGCGCTTGTTCTAGCATTCGACAACCAGAAGTCGAAGTGGCTTATTATCAAGGTGCATCTTGTATCGCACCTCCCGCCGACGATCCGTGCACGGGGATTGCCACAGGAGTACTCGTCGAACCGGTACGAGTAGTCCCACAAGACAACAGTGAAGCGCCCTTCTCGCGGCACCAACTGGAAGGGTGTGGAGGATCGCATTGTGAAGAAGCATATCGAGCAAGCCGTTGTTCGACAGCTGTCTCGAGCCTCCGGCGGGGACAAAACATACGAGACAGCCATGAAGGAGGTGAGCCTGTGTACGACCTAAGGCCGATCTTGCCCACCAATGTTCCCCGCCTGCTCCTGCCGCATGAAACCCTCGATCACCTCGTGTTTTTGTTTAGACCCTGCCTGTTCCCTTCCTCCCGCTGCCCCCCTAGACATCCCTTCTAGCATCCACGTGCTCACCATCATGTCCACCCATGAAATGCCTCTCCCGCTGCCCCCCTTGACATCCCGTTTTGCATCTACATGCTCGCGTTCTTGTCCACCCATCGCTCCTTCCACTAGCTGCCACCCTTCACATTCCGTCTTGCCCCACATGCTTTCCCACTTATCCACCCATGCCCCTCCCCCGGCCCGCGTGGGACTATCCGTCGTTCAGCCCCCAATGCTCCCCTACTAATCCACCATATACCTTCGTGCTGCTAAACACGTCGCCCCCTCGGTTCCCCCCCCCCCCCCCCCCCCCCCCCCCCCCATCCTCCTCCATGTCCATCCCCGGCACTTCCCATTCCCTCCTGCCGTTTGTCTTTCCTTTGCCCTCCCTTGATCTACACTTGTCCGCCTATGCTCCCTCCTCTTGCTGCACCCTTTGACCTCTGGAACTGCCCCGCTATACTAACCGACTGGTCCCTAATCTTTGCTCCATCTCACTGCTGCCCCTGTTGTACTCAAGTGCTGCCCCTCTCCTGCTGCCCCCCATGTACACCATGCACCCATCACCCTCCTACCCAGGCTTGCACGCTTGGGCGTCGGGTGCTGACTAAGACACACAAGAAGATGACCGTGGGGCAGATCACGGATGATGTGTTCAGGAGCTATGTCCTTGTTCATGGAGATGAAGCGATGGGCTACTTGAAGAAGCGGCTGGCCAGGGAGGGAATTCACGACCAAGTGCTCAATGTGAGAATCAATATGGTGCTCAATGCGGGAGTATCAATGTGAGAATCAACTGCCACTGCCACGTAGACCTGTTAAACGTGGGACATCAACCTCCTTAACTTACACAAACCCAGGCATGGCACCCTGTTGTATCCACGCACTCGTCAGCACCCCATTGTCTCAACCCTAACACAAACTTCCATTGTTGTGCTGCGACCCCTGCTTGCCTATTCGCAGGTGCACACTGCCATGGCAATCCCACCGCACGACAGGATGGAGTGGACCGAGAAGGGGCAGTTTGTCAAAGCAAGCCCTTCCGACAGGCACTTTTCAGATGTAGCCATAAATCCAGCTGGCAAAGGGGCCAACTGGTACGGCCGCTGCTTGATGCTGTTCCATTACGTTAAAGATGGCGTGGCAAAAAAAGCCGCCTTCATCGAGTACTACACGGAGGATCGGCGAGTCTGCCGGTACACTGGCTGCAAACGACTGTTGCCCACGAAGGGCACCTTCACTTATGCAGTTGTAGATGCAGATTGCATTCTTGGCATCGTGCATGTTGTCCCGTGCTGCAAAGACCCTGCTGTGAAGCTGCTCAATAGGTTCATCTGGTGATGCAAATAAAGTAGCAACTATGTCAATTTACCATAACCTTTTTTGATTGTGAAACACGATTTTAAGCCACCTTATTATTGTCTCAACAATTAACATCTAACAAACATTCCATGGTAACACCGCGAAACCATTACTAAAACATCACCAAAACGTTTGGTCGGACAAGAATGCCATACAAACGATTTGTATATGATTCCTGGATGATTGTCAAACGATTTTCTGAAGCTTGCTTAAAAAAAAAATGGTCAGATGATTTCCAGACGCACACATTTTTGTGATGATGTCTATCAAGCTTATGGTCGGTACGGTAGCACTTTTTATGAACAGGCTTTATAATTTCAAAACAACACTAGAAGTCTAGCGCAAGCATCTTGCTCTTGCACAGGTTCTTCTAATCCAAAATATCCATCGTGCATGGAGGGAGTGGACGAGACAATGGTGCAGGAGTCCAAAGGCTCAATGCAGGAGCGCATGCATAGAAAGCAAGACCATAAGAAACTGCGACTACTTGGAATAAAATGATTGGGAAGAGTGGGGGGTATGAGAGGAGTGGGGTCTATGACATAATTGGGGTGTGTAAACGGAGTTGGGGACATGAGAGGAATTGGGGGTATGGGAGGAGTGGGGAGATGGATGGAGAGGGGGGTATGAGAGGCATGGCTGGTAATAGAATGGTGGTGGTTATGAGGTGAGTGGGGTGTATGAGAGGAATGGGGGGCATAGAGGTATGGTGGGTATGAGAGGAGTGAGGGGTATGAGAGGAACCGGGTTTATCAGAGGAGTGGAGGTTTGAAAGGAGTGAAGGTCATGAAAAGAGGGGATGTGTGAGGAGTGGGGGATTCAAGAGGAGGCTGGTATGAGAGGAGTGGGGGGTATAAGAGGAGTGAGGAGTAACAGAGGGGGTATGGTAGGAGTTTAGGGGCATGAGAGGAATATAGAGGCATGACAGAAGTGGGGTTTACGAAAGGAGGGAGTTTATGAGAGGAGTGAGGAGTATAATACCGTCATTTCCCGGTAAGTAGACAGTGTTGAATAGTAGACAGGGGTTGTCTATTATCCGGGTGTCTCTTATAAACAAGCTCGCCTCATTATAAGACACCTATTTGTGTGTACGCGTTAAGCCAGTGTAGAGGTTAGGGGCAATCTTATAGCGAGGGGGTATCTTCTAAACAGTTCTTCCTCCATTTATAAGAGTTATAAGACACCCTAAATCGTCCCAAATACAAGACAACCCCAGCATTTTTGCCCGTGTACGAGATAAGACATATATGTCTACTATCCGAGCGATGACGGTAGGAGTTGGGGTTGGGGAATGGTATGGGTGGGGGGTAAGAGTGGATAGGGGGATGTGAGAGAAGTGGTGGGTATGAGAGGAGTGGTGGGTATGAAAGGAGTGCTGGTGTGAGAGGAGAGGCGGCATGTGAGTGGGGAGAGGGATATGGGATATACAGAGGAATGTTTAGCTTTTCAAGCTTGATGTTTGAAGAGCGATATTCTGTATAAAAACCCCAAAACAACCCTAAACGTGAATCTAATTCACAATCCAGAAAATCATGCATGCAACAGCTAAAACTTTCAGGAAGAAGGTGACAAGCATAAAATCTGGCCCATGGACAAGCCGAAGCTACAGTGTACTACACAGCCCAATTTTCCTGTCCCATTTTTGTGCTCATCAAAAGATGCTACCAGTATCCCTTCCACAGCCTCTGCCAGTGTTCCTAAGTGTCCCATGCCATGTTTTCATATGAAGCAAACAATTGGCATCAGAAGCACAAGGTAAACCAGTAAGCTGCATGTGAAAACAAACTTGATTACGTGGAAGAGCCACTTGGCATGCCCCCCTCGCCCTCCGCACGGGCCATTTCAGCAGTGAAGCTGGAGGAGCCAATGGAGCTCCCAAGCTCCATGTCAATGCGAGATTTGGCCTCGCCCACATGACCCTCATGTGCTCCGGACGCCTCCTGCTTCAACTTCACCAGCTCCCAAAGCACTTGATTCATGGAGGGGCGGGAGGCTGCAGGCATGGCGGTGCAGGAGAGGGCAAGGCGAGCCCAGCGCAGCACCAAGTCATCTGGTGCGTCCAAGTGAGGGTCCTTGAATGCCAATACAGCACCGGAGTCCACCAACGGGGCCACCTGCGAGGTTCAATGCATAGATCACATGGAATTTGGTGATACCATATATTCACAGAGTTTCACATTAAAATAAAACCTGTGAAGAATGGTAGAAATGTGGCAACACAGAGATTGATGGAATGATGTATGATCATAGGAAATTAGTGCTACATAGAAAGCAGGATGATAGGAAGGTGAATCCTATTACAGATACAAGGTGTGATTCAAAGGTAAGTGCTCGTCTTAATCATTGCAGCATGTATCCTGTTGGGAATGGAGGTAAGGAGAACATGAATTGGCCTACATATGTTTGGCTAAGGGCAACAAGGAAACATTGATATTATCGAGCAAACTCACTACGCAGTGCAGCTGGCTTTCTCATACGTTGTGTTACAAGATCTGCCATCCTTGGCATGATACACTTCTGTCTCTCACCCATTGTTTGAGATTGATCTGGTTTTCCTCTGTTACATGCACAGCCTTGCGCGCCGTGATAACCACCAGCGTCACCACGCCAAAACTGCAACCCATCAATAAACAAAGGCATCATACTTGAAATCGCGCTCAGATGTACAAAAGCTTTATGGTCACAATAAAATTTGTTTCCCAATCATTCCACAAGTGATCGTCACACAAGCCCCATCACCAAGCATCACCAAGCTACTTGATTGGTAAGAACGCCTGGAAATGGCTTCAATGTCAGGCATGGACCTTCTTAGGGTGTGAGGCAAAGGAAACATAGAAATCACTGCAAGCCCGAAACCCGAACCCTATCTTCCCTAGAAGAAACGAAACTCATGAGCATTTCTCATCAAATTTAGAAGCCTCCTTGAACAGTATTCTCATGCCAAAGTGCTCATCTGCTAACCTTCACTGTTTTCTAATGCCATTATAACTTGCATGGATTTGCTAGCATAACCTACTCTGCTCACCTGAGCCAATCTGCTCACCTGTGCCAATCTCCTCACCTTTGCCAATTTGCTCACCTGTGCACATCTGCTGCTGGAGTGGCCTTATGAGACTTGAAATACGCAGGGTCCACATAGCCCGGTGTTCCCATCACTCGAGTGGCAGCCACAGACGTGCCCATAGCAGTGCCCCCACCAAGCTTCACAAGCCCAAAGTCTGCAATCTTGGCCTGCCCATGGACAACAAGAGCATTGATGGGAAAGATTCAGAGCATGCGAGGCGATGCAAAACACCACATGATAGTTGCAAAGGGATGGATACGAGTAGGCATCTTTCACCATGTACAGCAAGGCCTACAACAATATTGACATGCCTGCATCTTTGCATCAAGGAGAATGTTGGCAGGTTTGATGTTGCGATGCACAATGCCGAAGTCATGAAGATACTGCAACCCCTTTGCCACTCCAATCAGAACGTCAAGCCTTTGACGTAGCGAAAGAGGATGGGAGACACCAGAACCAATCCAGCTCTCAAGGTCGTGGTTGGGCATGAACTCGTAAACGAGGATCTGCTCCATGAGTCGTGTGGAGAGGTCGATGTCGATGCAATAGCCCAACAGACGCACAAGATGCGGATGGTGCTTGCTTGCCATCTCCTTCACCTGAGAGGGAAAACAGTAAACATATCAAAGGAGATTGAATAATCAGACCACCAGCTATGCTTGGGGTTGGCAGAAGAAACTAATGAGAAACGTGCCACTAACATATCAACAAAAACTCACACCATGGTACCTCTCTTTGGAAGCCGTTCGTGAGCACTCGAGCTCGCTTGACTGCCCAGGCTTGATTGCAATCGTGGGGCGACACACTCTTGTAAACATCCCCAAAGCTACCACTTCCTATCCTGTTCCCCTCTGCCCAATCTCCTGTAGCCTTAGACATCTCTGCCAAAGAGTACTCTCGACACACGTATGGCCGTGCTGCCTCCATCTCCACCACATAATCATCACCCTGCATCCCTTGTACTTCTGGTAATGGTAGCACTGCTGCGGCAGCTGCTGTAGCTGCTGCGGCCTCCCCTTCCGCTGCTGCTGGGTCCTCATCCTCATTATTTGGTACTGCAAAGATATGAAAAAGATGGTGAACGTGAAAGAGAAGACCGATAATTCAAGGGGCCTGGGAATTTAAACCACCTACTCTGGATTGCTAATGACCCAGGAAGGACCAGCAAGCACCATTGCTTCATTCGTTGATTCCTGAAAAGTCGAGGTTAAGGCTGGATGAATTTCTACAAGAAGGTGAATTCAGTCACATCCATGGTGAGCAATTTCGCCAACTTTTTCTACTGCCATCTCAACACCATACCTGTGTGGCTGTGTGATACCATGGCAATGAACCCCAACCCAGATATCCAGCTTGATTTTTGATCGTTCACCTAGAACCAAACCTGCCCAATTCGACCCAGACCCATTATTCCGAACTTGGGACTAGGCGATTCACATTCTGCAAAAAAATAAAATAAAAACTAGCCAGTCTGGTTGTTTCATTTTCTCATGACTATTTCGCATGGAGCGGCAGGCAAAAGACAGTGCCATCACATGCAATTTTGTGGGGTTTTGCGTCGCACCCCAAAAATAAGGTTCGGACCAGTGATTCTGAGTCTTTAGGCCAAAACTCATGAGTCAGGCCCAACCAAGAAGACGGCTTGACATCTGGGAGGACCTGGAATGTTCCATGGTGAGAAATTGCACATGCATTTGTTGCTTTTACTCTTGGATTTTTTAATGATCTTCTGATTTTGATGATACTCTGACTTTATTTCGATTGCCTTGCATTTGCCTTGTTATTGCTTCATCTAGGCGCAGCATATACGTAAATATCTTACCTTGAAACAAAATGTTATTTATTGATTTCTTGCCATCCACATTGGTGCTGGTATTGTCTCCTCCTGCTGCCCCTTTGGTGCGGTATCGCTTCCACAGAAGCCAGGTCAGCAGCACCAGCAGCACGAGGACAGCCACAGTGCCAGCAGCAACAATGCCAGCAATGGCTCCGCTGGATAAACCGCCTCTAGTTTGGGAGAGAGAGGCTGTAGGCTCACTGGGAGATGACGTTGGAGGAGGTGGAGAGGGGTTTGGCACTGGCGATGGGGAGGGTGTTGGCAATGGCGATGGGGAGGGTGTTGGCACTGGCGACGGGGAGGGTTTCGGCACTGACAATGGGGAGGGTACGGTTATGGGGTAGAAAGACAGAGAGAGGGAAGGGAAAAGGCAAACAAACATGAGGATGGCGGTTGGCTTGGTGAAAGTGGATGTGGCATCAAGCACAGTTTGCATGGGGGGAGGAAGCAAAGGAAGGCAATGAAGGATAGAAACACGTATTCTTCAGTAAAGTTCATGAGGATGCATACAACAGAAGCACATATTGAGGAGTAGCGAAGCTGTGCTTGTTACCGTACCTGACAGTGGAAAAGCTAGCTAAGTAGGTGGCTATGCACTGTTCATCCTCTTAGCACTAATGAGAGCAAGGCAACAATGGGCTGTGAAAGTAGCAGCCACCTGCATAAGGTTAGCCTTACCTGGTGGTGGCTTGTCACATGTGGTGCAGAAGGAGCCGCACTGGCTGCAGAAAGCACTTGAATTGGTCTGTGGGACCACGCAGCTGCTGTAGTCAAGTGGGCATGTAATTGCAGTTGAGGATATGTTCCTGCATGTGAAACGGGTTCTCAAACGGAGCATGTGATTGCAGCTGCACATGGAGCGTTTTCAAACTATGAATCAGGAACGAGTTTCAGCTCTGAATGAAATGCTCCGAGGTTGCTATTGGCGATTTATTGTAACACGTTGCAATACTTTACCATGCCAATTATACATGAGCACCAGGGCAAAAACTTGATTGTTTCTGACCCAACATGTTCGGGCGAACATGTTCACGTTTGCCTTGTGTGCAAGGCGTTCTAGGGAATAAACCAGGGGGAAACCTAAACTCCCAGAAACCGCGGCCCATAGCATAACTAGTAGCCCATTCTACCCATCCTGGGCTAGTGCACGGATGTTGAAAAGTGGAGGAGGAACATGTCCAGAGGAAACTTGAAGGTGATGTGTTCCCCTTCCATCAAACACACATGTTCAGGTGTTTGCCTTCCATCAAACACACATGTTCAGGTGTTTGCCTTCCATCAAACACACATGTTCAGGTGTTTGCCTTCCATCAAACACACATGTTCAGGTGTTTGCCTTCCATCAAACACACATGTTCAGGTGTTCGCCTTCCATCAAACACACATGTTCAGGTGTTTGCCTTCCATCAAACACACATGTTCAGGTGTTTGCCTTCCATCAAACACACATGTTCAGGTGTTTGCCTTCCATCAAACACACATGTTCGGGTGTTCGCCTTTGGGAGGTGAACACCTTGAAGTTTGAGGCGAATATGTTCGTGTTGGCCATATCAGTAATCTTTGAGACACATGATCCTGGATGGTGGATTTTGGCATCCAGGTTAGTGTGGCTATACTCGGCGGTCGTTTGGAAGTAAAGGAAATGAAACACCAGAAAATATGTTTTTGTTCCGCCACACTATTTCATTAGAGTCTAGGTACCCTAGCTGCTGGAGCTAGTAGTCTAGGTTGTGGAAGGGGAGTTGGGAAAAAGTCGAGCTGAAAAATGAGCTCTACTAGAGTGTTTCATCAACCTTTTTCAACGAGCACATTTGTGTTCGTTGGAAAGGGATGTCGAACCGGACACGAACATATTCGGCCTGAACATGTTGAGCCACGAAAACAAAACATGATTGAGGCGAACCAAACAGGTGCTCGCCCTTGTGTTCATGTCTAGTCACATGTATCTGTTTATATTTCGATAGTGCAGACATTGAGGTTGGGTTAAATTGGTTTTAGGGTGCTCCCCGGGTGATTTTATCACCAGCTAGGTAACCCAATTCAGCACGTTTCTCAACCTTGGGGACGCGGCTCCAGCATGGAACCACAAATTCCAACATTGGAAACGCGATTTGGCCAAATTTGAGGGCCCCTCACATCCCTATGTTTGACTATGGGTGAGTTGAGCATCCATTTGGCACCCCAAGTCCATTGTGGAACAGTTTCCTCACTTGGACCAGCCCAGGTCGCCTCCAAGCTACCTCTCTTAGGTCTCTGTCAATTATTTCATGTTTTGCTTGGACCCACTTACCTCGATTCAGTTACGTGTCATATTTCTCAAGCATTTCTGAACCAAATTCTCCTTGTGCACATTGTGCACGTTAATTCTGTGTTTTCACAATGCTAAAGTGCCTTACAGGTGTATAAGAAAATTGAGATTGCCTATTTGTGGAGGGAGTTGGCCAGTGAGGTTGTTCTGGCTGACGTCACTGCAATGGATAGAAATAACAGATAATATATGGAATAGACACAGTCGAAGCAGTGCTAACAAGATTCCTAATCGTGCATACATGCAATAAGTTTTACCTGTACAGGGATGGAAACACGAAGGAATGAACCAAATATTGGTTGACGGTAGGAGACAGTTAGAGAAGGAGATGGAAAAGCCATGGATTATGGCAGGGGACGCATATCCTATGAGGATATTCCAGGTTAACGTGGTCAATTAAGTTGCAATAGAGATTTTTGTTCACCCAACGTGACAGAGTCCAGTCAAAGGTGAGATGCATAACGAGCTTCATGTGAGATATTTTCCAACCAGGCAAAACACATTTCAAAATCAACATAGCATGTTTGTTGGGCGGTAGAGGGTTGAGCCAAAAAAGTCATAGTTTGGGCGTTGGCATTTATATATACCTCCTACCTATGGCCAGTGCAAATTCTCCATGCGCTCGAATAACCCCTCATTGTGTTACACAACGCATGTATTTTGATTGCCTTACCGTGTCCCGAGGCTTGGCTGAAACCATGCTCACATAAAAATGAGAAAGAGTGATGTTGAAGTACCAAAGCAAGAGTGCATAAAAGCACAAACCACTTGTTAGGCTGCTCGTGCTTGCATTGCAACCCCTCTCGGTAGACATAGCAAAGGGAAGGCCCCAGTTCATCCATAAATACTGATATATGAAGGGTGAATCCACGTTTTATTTTGGCCTGTCATAACCCAGCCTAGAATTGAGCTAGTCAAACCCCGCACTGGGAAGATTTTGACACTCTCAGTGAGTCGTGCTGGTTTTGGCCTTCAGTAATATCGTGTTTCTGTCCGACCGAGGCCCACAACACCCGACTCCTGAGTCGTGTTGGACACTTATAGGTTACGGTTGGAATATGTTGGAGCTGTTTATTCTCAGCGCAGATACATTTGTTGAATTATCTATTGCTGGGATAAGTTTTGAATGTATCCACCTACTTCAAGTAAGTGACGTGAAACCTTTCTCAAGCATTTCTGAACCAGCTTCTCCTTGTGCACATTGTGCACGTTGTGTCTGTTTTTCCACAATGCTAAAATGCCTTACAGGTATGAAAGATAAGTTAGATTGCCTATTGTTGGAGGGAGTTGGCCAGTGAGGTTGTTCTGGGCGACATCACTGCAGTGGATGGAATTTTCAGATAATAGATGGAATATGCACAGTCGAAGCAATGCTAACAATATTCCTAATTGTGCATACATACAGAGATGGATGGAAACACGAAGGAATGAATCAAATATTGGTAGACGGTAGGAAACGATCAGAGGATATGCAAAAGGAATGGATTGTGGCAGGGGACGCATTTCCTACGAGGCTATTCCAGGTTAGCATGGGTGATTGAGATGCGGTGGAGATTTTTGTTCAACGTGACTGAGTCCAGTCTTGTCAAGGATGAGGAATCATAACCAGCCTCATGTGAGATATTTCCCGGCCAAGCGAAACACATCCTGAAATAAACACAAGATGTTTGTTGGACGAAAGAAGGTTGAGCCAAAGAAGTCACAGTTTGGTTTTTCCCTTGGTATTATATATACCTCCTACCAATGGCCAGTGCAAGTTCTTTCCATGAGCTGAAATGACCCGTCATTACGTTACACACCACATTCATTGTGAGTGCCTTACTGTGTCCTGAGGCATGGCCTAGAGCCATGCTCACGTAAAACTGGGACAGAGAGATGTTTAAGTACCAAAGAAAGAGTGCTTATAGGTACGAACCACTTGTTAGGCTGCTCATGCTTGCAATGCAACCCCTCTCGGTAGTAATAGCCAAGGGCAAGGCCTTGTTCACCCATAAAAACTGATACATGAAGGGTGAATCCACGTTTTAATTTGGCCTGTCATAAACCAGCCTAGAATCTAGCTAGTCAAACCCCGCGCTGGGAAGTTTATGACGCTCTGAATGAGTCATGCTGGTTTTCGGCCTTCAGTAAAATCTTGTTCCTGTCCGACCGAGGCCCACGACACCTGACCTGACTCCTG